ATAAGCGCCTTCCTTGCAAGTGTGTGGTCGTGAGTTCGATCCCTGGTACCAATAAAAATGAAAAAGACAAAAACAAAACAAAAGAAAACAAACAAAAAAAACAGCTAGTGCTGATTTAGTATCATCTTGCTTTGAAACCCCACCAAACTGTTGCTCTTCTGTCTCTATTGGTTTTATCATGTTGTATCTTACTGGATTTTATTACATGTGATAGTATAAACAAAAATTTTTATAGGCAAAGAGATAATATAGAAACCATTGTTCATTTTCTGTTAGCTGGTTCTAAATACCCTGCAATACTTCCATCCACTTGAATAGTTTCACACTGTCTTGGTATATTTGATGCTATATAGTATACGAAATTATATTCAAATATTTCAAGGAAAGAGACACTATGGTAACTACTATTTTTTTTTTACTTGAGAAAAAGAAAAAAAAACAGAAAAAGGGTACAAGTTATACAGAATTTCAGAAAAAATAAACAGTAGGAAATCACTAGTTAATAGATTACATATTGTTATCTGAGAAATAGTTGTTCAAGTTACAAAATTAAAGCATATAAACTGGACTTTCAAACAGTGAGACTGGATACAGTTTTGTTCAATGATCCAACAAAACTCAGTAATATGGTTATCTATCTTATACATTTAAATATATGTGTAGTTATATCCTTTAGAGCACTTTCTTTTCCTTTCTTTCGTACAATGACAATTACACATTTTTGGTTTTATTGCTCCCACAGGTCTTATTACTTTTTTTTTTTTGAAGAGAGTAAGACCAAATGTGACATAACAGAACAGAGTCAGTCAAATCAAAAGGATGGACATAATAGATAATGTAAAAACAAAATACTAGGTGATCAACAATGGTTATCATACTGCCTCTTGCTATCTTAAAAAGAATTGCCTATATCATCAGTTATGATAAAATTGAACAAAACAATAAAGAATAAATCCAAAACATTGGAGACATTACAGGACTTTAAAAGAAGATAATAGTCAACTGGAATGGGCATCATAATGAATCTTATTCTGTATACAGTTTTGCCTATACTTTCAAACTTGGTACTATCAAGCAAAGCAGAATAGAGGAAAATCAGTCAAAGCTAGATGGTGAGGGCTATACAGGGTTTCAAATCAAGTTAATAGGAAATCAAAGTGGGTTACTAAAATGTATCCTGCTATTTTTTATTTTTCCCTTAATTAAAAAGATAAAAAAAATAAAAATAAAAAAGTAAATAATTTTAATAAAAGGAGACTGAGATAAAAGAGTGCATAACAACAAAACAGCACAGGTCAAAGCATAACTATTTAAGCAAAATAGTGTTTCACTACAAGATATCCTGACATAAAAGTAGTTACCATAGTGTCTGTTTCCTTGAAATCTTTGAGTATAACTTTGGTATATGTAGCACCAAACATATCAAGACAATGTAAAACCTTCAAGAGAATGACAGTATTACAGGGTATTTAGAACCGCCTATCAGAAAATCAACAATGGTTTCTGTACAATCTCCTTGTCTATAAAAGTTTTTGCTTATATTATTATATATAATAAAATCCAATAAGATACAACCTGTTAAGACTGATGGAGACGGAAGAATACAAGCTTGATGGGACTTCAAAGCAAGATGATACTAAATCAGCACTAGCTATTATAATATCTTGATTTCTCCAAAATAGCTGTTCCCACCATCCAATCTTCTCTGCCTCATTTCTGTTGAGCTTTTTTTCTGTCATTTGTTGTCAGTTTGTCTTCTTCATTTTGCTTTCTGCTCCATTCATTGTGGCCTCTCTGCCACTGTTTCTGAAGTCTTGGTATTCTCCTTTTTTAGAATATCCTGCAGTATTCTCTGTAGAAGTGAATTGGTGGTTGCAAATTCCCCTAGTTCCTCTTTATCCTGGAAGCACCTTGTTTTTCCATCAATTTCTAGGGACAGTTGTGCAGGATATATCAATCTTGGCTGGAGGTTGTTATCTTTCAAAGCTTGAATTATTTCCCCCCAACGCTCTTCATGATTTGATGGTTTCTGCCAAGAAGTCTACTGTAATTCTGATGGGTGTTCCCTTGTAAGTGATCTGTTTCTTGTCTCTGATGGCTTTTAATGTTCTGTTGTTATATTGGATTTCTGGAATTTTGATTATTATATGCCTGGGTGTAGCTCTGTTTGGGTTGTAGGTGTCTGGGGTCCTGTATGCCTCATACATCTGAGTATCTTTACCTTTTGCTAAATTAGTGAAATTCTCTTGGATTATTTTTGTGAATAGCTTTTGTAGTCCATTTGTTTGTGTCTCTACTTCTTCTTTTATGTTCTTAATTCTTAAGTTATAGATCCTATCATCTTTTAGCCTTTGTATTATTGCTGTTTGTTTTCTTGTTATTTTTAAGAAGTTTTTCATTTCTTGTTCCCACATTACAAATCTGTCCTCCAGTTCAGATAATCTATCCTTAGTTTCTTTCAAGCTGTTATGCTAGCTTTCAATAGCGTTTTTAGTTTCCTGGTAATCTCTTTGAACCTACTTCACGTATTCTATGTTTTCTCTATTTTCTCCATCAAATAATTCTCCCCTTTTTTTCTCCTCTTCCATTCCACCATCTCTTTTTTCTTGGGCGGTGCTTAGCATTTCTCTAACTATTCTACTTATATCTTGCTTTATTTAGTTAAATACTTCACTTTTGAACTCGTCTATGAGGCTCCAAAGATACCGCTTTATGTCTATTGGTGCTGTGTCTGATATTACATGTTTTCTTTCCTTATTCTCCTTTGCAGTCACCTTTCCTAGATCAGTGTTCTCAGGATTGGGGACTGAGAACCATTTCTTGTTGTTTCCTCTTCCCATACTTTTTATTCCTTCCATACAAGCGAATATAGGAGGCCCAATTTTTTTCTCTTTTTCTGTTATAGTTTGTTTGAATTGTGCCAGCTAGGTGTTCCCGCCCACTGCAGTGTACTAGGCAGACACAGACCTGGGCAGCCTCTGCTGGGCCTGCCCCTCCAGGTCAACCTACTGAAGGCTTCACTGCTAGGGTGCACCTCCAGGCGCTGGGACCTGGTTTGGGCTAGCCTACTGGGTCTTAGTCAATGGCGTCACCCAGGCCAGGCACTCTCCACCAATCCCGCTTGAGAGGGGAATATGCCACTAATGTCACTGCAGCGCCCTATTCCAGCTAGTCTGCCCAGTCCCAGAATGTCCTCTGTTGGAGCCTCCTACTCTATGGAAGGGTCCCCATTCCGCTCACTCACCGCAAGTTGATGTAGGGCTTCCTGCTAGTCCCCCTCTCAACTCCTTTCGCAGATTTACGCTCTCAGAGCTTTATGCGCCTCTCTCCCTGCCCTGCAGATTTGGACACAACAGCTACAGCAGGAAATTCAAATCGTGGCTTCCAGGTGCATGGGTTTTAGCTTGCACACTGAGATTTTATCTGTTCATGTTATAGCACCAGGATTGGATATCCAGTTTGTTTCTCTTAGCTTAGTTCATTTCTGGGTTGGTATAGTGTATCTCCCCTTTCTTAGGACTCCTTGTACCGTACCATTCCTAGATTTTAAGTGGGGTATCTCAGGGAGCCTCTATAGCTGCTGCTATCTATCTGCCATGTTCTTCCGGAAGTCTATGGTAACTACTATTAAGTCGGGTTATTTGGTGGTGAAGCACTAGGTTGCTGAAATTGTCATGCTTTGACCTGTATTGTTATGTTGTTATGTCCTCTTTTATCTCAATCTCCCCCTTATTCATTTAAAAATTATTTTTTATTATTTTTTAAGGGAAAAAATAAAATTTAGGATATATTATAGTAAGCTTTTTGATTTCCTATTAACTTGATTTAAAGCCCTGTATTACTCCCACTATCTTGTTTTGACTGATTAGACTCTGTTCTGTTCTGTATGATAGTATCAAGTTTGAAGGTATAGGCAACTACTTTGAAGGCAGTAAGATTCAGTATGATGCCCATTCTAGTTTGACTATTATCTTCTTTTGAAGTCCTGTAATGTTTCCAATGTTTAGGTTTTATTGGTCTTGTACTGTACTGTTTTGTTCAATTTTATTATACCTAATGATATAGGCAATTCTTTTTAAGGAAGCAAGAGGCATTATGGTAACCATTGTTGATAACCTTGTATTCTGCTTTTACATCATGTGCTATGTCTATCCTTTGTTTTGACTGACTGCTTTGTTTTGTCACATTTGGTTTTATTCTCTTCCAAAAAAAGTAATAAGAACTATGGGAGTAATAAAATCCAAAATGTGTAAATTTTGTTGTAAAAAAGAGGGAAAAAAGTGCTTTAAAGGTTACAACTGCAAATGTGTTTAGGTATGTTAAGATAGATGACCATATTACTGAGTTTTTGTTGGATCATTGAACACAACTGTTTGCAGTCTCCTTCTTTGAATATTTACTTTGTATGCTTTAATCCTGTAGCTTGACCAACTATTTCTAAGATGACAATATGTAATCTATTAACTAGTGATTTCTTACCGTTTTTTGTAATTCTGTATTATTTATATCCTTATGTTTTTTTTCCTTTAAATAAAAAATTAAAAAAAATTTTACATGTGATATAAATAACCTGAAATTTAAAATTTCTAAAAGCAGGTATATTTCAAGCTATAGTCAAGTTAGTGGTATTTGTAATAACAATATAAAATAGAAAAAGCCTATTTGTTGCAATAATTAGAATGAACACTAGTGTTTGGGATGTGTTAGAGCACTTGTCTAGTATGTATAAAGCCCCTGGGTTTGATCCTCAGCAATACAAAAAAAGTAAATTAATCAAGTAATTAAAATGAATATTAGTTCAAAAACATGTTTAATAGAATATTATTTGGTCATTTAAAGTATGGTTAGTTAGCACTATGGGGAAATGTCTTATAAATTATGCCACAATCATGTGACAAATACAACCATGTAAAAAACGTTCCAAGAATAAGAATGCATGTTCTGATAATAGTTTTTTTTTTTTTTTTTTTTTTTTTTTTTTTTTTAGAAAAACTGTTATGGTGTTCGCTTCAGCAGCATATATACTAAAATCAGAAAGATACAGAGATTATGAGCATACCCCTGCTCAAGCATGACACGCAAATTAGTGAACCGTTCCATATTTTTATGTCAAAAAGAAAAAGAGAAAGGGTTCTGTTTTTATTTTCCTATTTTGTATAGTATGGCTATATTGTTTTTAATAATTAAAATTTTTACTATTAAAAAAAAAAGATTTTTTTTCTGACAGAATATTTTGGTTCCACCACAAATTAACATGGCCAGAAGCTGCACTGGGTCCTAAAGTTTTATGCAGAAGAAAGTTTTTATTGTAAACAAAAAGTCAGAAAATGTTTGTGGGTAGTTTCTTTTCCTGCATCTAAGAGATGAAATGCTAAGTCAGACTCAAAAGTGTTTGCCAAGAAGTTTCCCCGCCTTTTGCTTCCTGTCATTGGTCAGCCTGCCTTTCCATCACTCACAACCTCCAGTATCTTGGTCGCACACATCTCACAGCAAGGAGCTGACTAACCCTAAGGCCTGGTGGCTCGTTAAGTAACCTTCCACGCAGTGCCTGTGGCTGCCAGTCGCACAACATGTTTGACTGGGAACGATAAACGCCATGGTTTACATTTGACTCCAGTCACCCTGTGGTTGCCAGCAGCTTAGAAGTGTAAACATCACCCACTGCCTTTGAAAGACTTTGACATTATGTTCCCAGCTCTCTAATGATTGTGTAACATTGAAGAGGGTTGGAGGAGGAGAGGGAAGACCTATGAAGAATCAAAGCAGATCAGATTACAAATTTATAACCACTTTCTGCATTATTTATGGAAGAAATGGAAAGCTGGACTTATGGCTTGTAACTTCAAATAAACTTAAGAAGTAGAAAAAGCTAATTAATAGGTTCCCTTTATCCATAAATAACAAGTAAATCTAGCTAAAGCAAGTACATTTTTTTCAGTGACTAAAGTTCAGACTGATAGGTCAGATGGGGAAAAGCAATTATCCTATTATAAAAATTCTGCTGTAAGTTCCACAATGTTATAGTTTAGAATGTTAACTGAAGACAGTATTATGAAAAGTAGGTTCTTTGGTTTGTTTCTTGAGACTGAAAGTTGCCTTACAACAAAGTGAAAAAATCCCTGCAGCTGCTGGGTATAGCAGCCCACACCTATAATCCCACCTATGTGGGAGGCTGAGGCAGCAGTCCAAACCCAGCCCAGGCAATTAATTTCCTGAGATCTTGTCTCAATAAAAAGGGCCAGGTATGTAGCTCAGTGGCAGGTTACTTACAAGCATATTCAAAACCCTGGGTTCAATCCCCAGGAGTCAAAAAACAAAACGCTCTACAGCAGCTATGCCTGGCCTAGAGGGAAACACTGGGAGAGGCTACCGGGGAGTTGGGGGGGGTGGTGGTGGTGAGGAGAACCCTCATAAACAACTATTTTCTCATTCAGATCTTTAAGTCTGTGTATATTTAGTGTGTATAGTTTATTCCATTTACTGAAGGTAATTATCCTCTGATGATAGTATAGTAATAAGAATTATAAAAGCTTCATGCAGATTTTACTAATGATTCCAGACTACTACTGATAAGGACAGAGGTTGTCATAGCTAAAGAAACTAAGTCAGACATTCTCTCTGAAAATTTTTTATTGTGAAACAAAAGCAAAATGGTTCATTTTTTTTGGTTAGAAACGATTCTTTCCATTTGTTTATTAATTTATTCAGCGCTTGGTATCAAACCCAGGTCCTCAAGCATGATAGACAAATAATCTGGCCTGCTTTACAACCCTAACCTGTAAAGAATTTTTTAAAATAGCTGGACGAGTATAAAGTAAAGGCTGGCTATACACTCATAACAAAGGATTATATGAAAAAAAATTTTTTTGCAGTGTTGGTGATTGAACCCCAGCCTTTGCTCACGGTAGGCAAGCTCACATAAGGAAAATAATGCATTGGGTTCAAAGATTACATGTAGCTACCATTCCTCAAGACGGAGCAGGACAAAGAGAATTCCTTAGAGTATACTGCACAGAAAATGAGTCATACTAGTCACACACTTACCAGGTCATCTATCCTGACTTGCTTGTTTGCTAATATTCAGGAATTTTGGTGCTCAGAGCCTCTTTAACCAACAACACCTGAGCTGAGGCTATTTCCAGAACTGGATAGGGGGAAAAGACCAAAACTTATCTTCTGGAACAAGGAAAAAAAAAATAATAGAAAAAAATGGAAACGAAGCTTTTGTAAATAAAGAAAGGAAAAGGAGTTGAAGGGAGGGGAAAGGAATGGGAAAAAATAAGTAGCAAAATATATCACGTATGGGAGTGTGGACTGAGGAGAGCCAAAATGGAAATGAGCCCCCACCTGTGGGCTCTCCAGTGTGCAGGCTGGAGGGAGATCACCTGCCTCCCCACCCTGCAGCAACCAGCTGCTTAGGAGGAATTGTATTGTTTGACTGACTTTCCAAGCCTAAAGCTGATCAACTATTTAGAGGACAACAATATGCAATATAGAAACTCTTGTAGATTTTCTACTGCTATATTACTTGGTTTTATTCCCTTTAAAATTAGAGAAAAAAACTGAAGAAGTTAGTGGGATCCAAAATGTACAATAGATTTTGTTAATTTCCTATTACCTTGTTTTGAAGTTGTTTTCATTATTTGGTTGGCTTAATTCTGTTTTATTTTGTTAGATTCTATTATGTCTGATGGTATGAGCAGCTATTTTGAAGATATCAAGATGTATTAGGTAGCCTTTGCTGATTCCCTATTATCTTGTTTTGAAGTCTTGTATTACTTTCATCATTTGGTTTTGATTGGGTTTATTTTGCTGTGTTTTGTTTATGTCTTATGCTATGGACAGCTATTTTGAAGATAACATGAGGCATTACGGTAGCCATAGCTGATTTCCTATTATCTTGTTTTTAAAGTTCTGTATTACTCTTAGCTTTGTTTTGATTGGCTCTGTTGTTTCATTTTGTTTGGTTTTATTCACTTTAAAACAAAATTTTATATATATATATATATATATATATATAATGTACAGGTATAAACTCCCTCTGATGAATAATATCATTGTATATGTATAAAATGTACCAATAAAATAAAAAGTTAGAAAAAACCTACTGAGGGGGCTGGGGATCTAGCTCAGCAGCATAAACGCCTGCCTTGCAAGCAGGTAGTCGTGAGTTCGATCCCCCGGTACCAATAAAAAGGAAAAAGACAAAAAAAAAAAACAAGAACAAAAACAAAAAAACCTTCTGAACAACGAATGACTATCTTGTTATTTTAGGTAAAATTGTTACTCCTGTTAAAATGTAATGTTTAAATGTGTATGACTGAAAACTTTACTTTTAGCTTTTAAATATATAAGCCACATTTTTGATTTATCAGGTTGCGGGGAGGAGAGGATACCAAGGGGTTAACTCATGGCCTCTGTATTGAAAAGAGCCAAACTGTTTTTGATTGGGACAGGGTTTTACCATGTATTTCAGGTTGGCCTTGAACTCACGACAATGCTGCCTTAGCCTCCCCATTGCTGGGATTAAAGACATGAGCCACCCCTAGTCCTTTCTTTTGAGACAAGGTCTTGCCAAATTGGAAAGTTGCCCAGGATGGGCTTGAACTTGTGGTCCTACTGCTTAGAGCTCTCAGAGTGCTGGAACTGCATGTGTGCCACCACACCCAGCTACTCCTTTTGTTGTAAAAGGAGCAAATGAAAATTTTCTAGACAACAGATCATTAGTTCATTAGGCTGCTTGGTCTTTTTTTATTTTGGTGCCAGGGATTGAACTCATGACCTCACCCTTGCCAGGCAGGCGCTTATACCACTGAACCCCCGACCCCTTTTTAGACAGGGTTTTGGTATGCAGTCCAGGTTGGCCGTGAACATGCTTTGTATTTCAGTCTGGCCTCAAACTTGCAGCGATCCTCCTTAGGTTGCATATGGTAAATGATAGTGGTTCTATCTCTTAAAAACTAACATCTAACTTACTAAAATCATTTCCAGGGCTGGGATTTAGCTCAGTGGCATAAGCACCTGCCTTGCAAATATGAGGTCATGAGTTCAATCCCCGGTACCAAAAAAACAAAACAAAAAAAAACCTGCCAGGAAAAAGAAAAAGCTGACAGGAAGTGTTGACCTCAGACCCAGAAAAATGGGAGAATAAGACAACATATTAAATCTACCCTCGGGAATGAGGTATTTCTCATCCCTATGATGTATTATAGCTGTATTTTTAAAACAAACGTACCCAAGGAATAGGTATTTAAGATATTACTGAGAGCAATCATGAGTAGATTTTTTTAGTTGTATTTGTTTTCATAGAAATGTACCCAGAACGAGGTGTGGTAGCATACTCCTGTAATTCCAGCACTTAGAAGGCTGAGGCAGGAGAATTGCCGAGTATATAAGGTCAGCCTGGGCTACAAAGTGAGTTCAATGCCAGCCTGAACTTTATAGTGAGACCTTATTCCAAAAAGGAAAAAAAAGGAAGAAATGTACCCAGAAAGCAATGTGCAAAATGAAGGATTTTTTTTTTGCACTGGGGGGATCAAACTCACAATCTGGTGATTGGGAAGCAGGTGCTTATGCCACTAAGCTAAATTCCCAGCCCTAAAATGAAAGATTTTGTATACAGCATATTACAAATAGCAATAGACCATTTGAAATAGCTTTTATATTTCCAAATTTGTTCTTGAATGTTTCTTTCTTTGTTGTTGAACTATACTTGATAATACTGTAAAGTGCTGACCTTTTCTCTGGACATCAGCTTATAGAACAGAATTATATTGTAACTTTTCTAAACTGTGGTAAAACCTATAGCTGGGAAAGTAGGACATCTTTGAAATTGGCAGGTACACACTGCCAGATGCTATTCTCTCCATCTTTAAGCCAAGGAAATTGAAGCCCAGATAGTAACTAAAGGGCTTACAAAATCAGTCAATGGACTGAAAGCCGTTAGTAGATGCTAGGATTTCTGATCAACATCCATTAGTCTTCCCACTAAGCCATGTTACTTTATATAATTATAGTAAAAAAATAATGGAGGGGGAAAGCATCTAGAACAAAGAGCAGATATAAACTTGCTATTTTAAAAGTTCAAATAACAGTTAATAGATATT